CTGGCTTATATGCCCAAATGCACCTAATCTAAATACAATCATTACTAATACAATACAACACTTTCTGCAAACTTCTAGACTCAATATAACTAACATACAAATTCAAGAGCTACATGACAAACTTACTCACCACAACAGAAACAACACAAATATATTCACAACTATACAAGGATTCATATCTACAATGCTTATACAAACTATTAGAGAATACACAGACTCTAACAAAACAGCAACGAATACTACTATCTAATTACTTTTAGGAATCTTATATATAAATTATTAGTTGTGTAATAGTAGAAACTTATGCAATTCGAATGACTTTTTTTATTAAGATTTCTGTAAAACATAAAGTTGAGCCACTTATTAGATCATATATAGAATATAGAGCAAATTACAGTGCAAGCTATCAGGCTATTTATCAAATTTGTCTGGTATTAGAAATAATGTAAATATTCTAAAGTGATATAAGTAGAAAATGAATGAACTTAGACTTTAAGCAAGAATAAGTCTCGAATTCCAAAATATTATATTAGTTGTGTCAGTATCAAAACAAAGCAGCATGTATTATTTCTGCTAATTTGTATTAATGTATACTCGATAAATATTTAATGAAGAATATTCAGTAAATGAAGCATCAAGCAGAAGTTACTATAGTATCAGAAAATTTTAAAATAGAGATATTATTAAACAATTGCTTACTGTCTATAATTGAATACATTAACATATAGTTTTGATTGAACAATTTTATAATTCTATCTATAAAAAACTGACCAAATTAATTGATGCAAAAAAAATTCAATTATTCCTATTGTCATAAAAAGAATTTCACTAGAGTTATATACAAATAAATAAATGCACAAGAAAAGTTTATCAAACATTGGTAAAATCACTTAAAGTGTAATAGAAATAGTATTTACCATATTTAAACCTGTATCTATTATACAATATATGATCTATAAACAAATCTTAGATTTCAAAGGTTAAACTTAAAAAATATCATATACAAATTCAATTATTTAAAATTAATTCTTTTATTTTAATAGAGTCTACACCTATTTAGTTTGAACAATTAACAATGAGTATTAGAAAGCAATAGTCTAATAAAATTATTTATAATATCTTTAATTAGCATTATAATTTAGCATCATCTGACAAATAGCTGTGTATTTTGTCCTATAGCCAAGCATACCAGTTCTGAGAGTTTTTCTATATAGTAGACATCATTCTTTCTCTAAAACTATTATCAATATTTGTGTCAAATTTTTATTAACAAAACTTTGAATTGTTTAAATATACTTTAAGGCATATAAACAAGTTATTCAGGCAATTGACCTTCAAAAGCCAATCAGAAGAACTCTACTATATGAGTACAACACATCTATTAATGCTCTAAAAAGCTTGTCTATAATTGTAAAATGCAATTTTACCAAATTTTGTATTTTGGCCCCTATCAATTGCCAATTATAGCAAAAAAATAGTTAAAAAAGATTAACTCTTGTATTATAAAATTGATCACATTTTATATAGGCTACTGTTTTGTGCTCTTGCTCTTTATCTTATAGTACTCTGGTAGAGCTTAGATAGAGCTCGAGCTCAGGTAAGGGAAAATACTTAACAGGACTTGGTAAATTTTATATATTGATACTGATTTAATAATGAGAATTGGTAGTTTAATATAGATTTTGAGACAAGAATTTATTATTTTTTAATTTTTTTAATTTTTGGTTTCAGATTTTTTGCTATCTAAATGAATTAATAATTGCTAAAATTAAAGAGCTGCAATATTTTTGGTTCGCTAAACTAATCATTTACAATGATTTAATATGTTAATAAGATTAATTTATCACTCTTAATTTTGACTTTGATTTTGCATTTTGGTTTTATTTGATTATTTTTATATTTATTATATTTACTAATTTGTATATTTCAAAACATTTAAAATTACATGTTTTTTTATAAGATGCGTAAAATGAAAATTCTTGATTCAATTTGTAGCATTGTTTTTTTATATGATAAATAATTTGTGTTTCATTCTGTTACTATTGACAATATATAGAAATTTTATGGTTTATCATATATTTCTTCTGTGTTTAAAAAGTTTATCATAAGTATTTTTTTGCTGTGCTTTATGATTAAATATGATCTATTCTTCTAGACTGATGTTATAATATGATTACACACCCTAAATGCATACTCTAGTAACTAATTATAAATTTGCATTTGAAAAAATTTTGTGTTAGTAAGATTATCTCTGAGTTTATACTTTTAAAAACTGAGTATAAATTTACATCTAGAAAAATTGTATATTTATAAAATAATTTTTATTAGTTAAAGATTACATATGTTGTTTTATTTTAATTCTATAGATATAAGGTAAATATGGGTAGTATTGTGAGAATTACTATGTCTAGATTAATTAAACATATGCTCAATTAATTTGAAAACAATTGAACATAGTAACTCTTACAATACTGAATATAGGTATTTTGACGAATTAAACATCTTATAATAAAACTTTTTTTTTTATTATATACAGTGCTCGACAAAAGTTTCCTCATACCTATATCTTCTCATAGAGAGGTGCTACAACCTTTAAACTTTTAAAAACTATAGTACATATGTAGCTTAGATCGTGTGTTTTTTAAAAAGATTTTTTAATTATTAGAAAAATTTTTAGATAAGAGCTAAAGTCAAAATGTTTTTTTTTTTAAAAATGAATAAATTAATTGAATTCAAAGAAAAATTAATATATTATTACGGCTTAAAGCTAAAAATTCTAAAAATTAACATATTAAAATTCAATGATTTCTGTATTGGTGATAAAAAAGTTGGCCCAATTTGATGAGATAATTGTCAAGAAATTAATTTTTTAAAATTCAAGTTTTAATTTTAAAAATTACAAAGTAAAAGCTTTTAAATCGAAACTATCTTGATATCTAGTAATCCAAAATTGATGATTTTGGTATCATTCGAATTATCTCAATGAGACAATTCGAATGATAGCAAAATCATCAAATTTGAATCATTAAAACATGTGATATTTGTGAAAAACTTTATGCAATACAAAAGAGTCAGGTCTCAACAAATTAAAATAAAACTCAAAATTTTAAAAATTAATTTCTTGATAATTATCTCATCAAATCGAGTCAAATTTTTTGTCACTAATACAGAAATCATTGAAGATTAATCTATTAATTTTTAGAAGTTTTAGCTTTAAGCCTTGACGATATATTAAAATTTTTTTAAATACAATTATTTTTTTGGACGAAAAATATCCCAACTTTGGCTCTCATCTAAATTTATTTCTAGTGATTAAAAAATCTTCAAATGATATACACGATCTAATCTGTATATATACTAACTTTTCTGAAATTTTCAAGGTCGTAGCATCTTTGTATGAGGAGATATAGGTGCAGGGAAACTTTTGTCGAGCACTGTATACTAATCCTTATTTATTAAGTGAAGTTGTTCAAAATATCATCTTTACTTACCTTCAAATTTTGAATATGATTATTATTTTTTTTATCTAAATTTATGCTTGAGTACAATATAACTAACCAATTTAAAATAATCATTTCTACTAAATTTTACTACTGCCAAAAACTAAATAAAATTAACAATAATAATATAACACTATGGTTGAATTTAACTAAATAAGTAAAAAAATATAATTATATGAGAGTAAAAAAAAAAGTAATAAACTTATCTAATTCTCTGTCAATATATCTATCGTATTCATTGTTTAAATGTTGTCTTATATGACTGCTTATCCATCAAAACTGGATAATATGTAAAAATATATAATATTTATTTTTGTACTTGTAAAAAACCAGTTTTAATATACTATTGCTTTAATATTATCAATCTTACTAATTTGGTAAATAAGGTAATTGCAAATAATAAACTTATCAATCAATAATATACTGCATACTTATTTATTTCATACTACCATAGATTCCTGAATTTTAAGCTCAAAAAATCGGAAGTAGTTTATTTTTGGGTAAAAGCAGATTTTGCTTAATTACGAAAAAGTTTACTAAGCATATTGACATGCCTTATTAAGTAAAAGTTATTCAGAATATCAAAATACATATATCTTGAAAATTTCATGTAAATCAAACAACTTTTTATTAATTGACTTTTGATTTTTACGTTCAATGAATATGAATTTTAAAAAAATTCATCGAATGTAACATGCAAAAACCTATTAATAAAAAGTCATCCAATTTGGATGAAACTTTCATAATACATGTATTTTGACCTTCTGAATAACTTTTACTTAATAAGCTATATCGATTTATTTAGTAAAATTTCGATTTTACTATATAGTAACTACTAATAATAATATAAGTAGCTTATTTTTGGGTAATAGAAGTTTTTATATTTTTTCTAAAAAAGAAAGATAGCTTATTTTCAGAGTAGCTTATTTTCAGGAATATACGGTATACCAGTATTCATTGATTACCCATTTATTACTTAGAAATTAAAACAATATACTTCTGATTGATTGATTTTTACTCTTGATTTGTAATAAATCCTTGATCATACGATTACCTGAATATATAACTAAAAATAATATCAATTGTTTGCCAAAAAATCACTTTTGCTGCTGCTTATGAATACTATTTTTCATAGCAAATAATCTATATATAGTAGTTCATAATAATTCTATTTTGAGTTAACCTTTGAATTTTCGTTATACATTTGTATGAATTTAGCAAATTGAGCAAAATTAATTAATAAACACTTTGTTGATTTAAGCCTCATTATATTATTTTTCATGCAAGATATTTAAAAACTATTATTTACATATTTAAAACTGTACTGTTCAATCTTGATTACTGTAATAAATTAAAAATATTAAGTATTAAATTTATACTAATTGACATGTTTTATGATACCTGTTTCACTAACTACATCCTGTTATCTACTGATAAAGTAAAAGTTATTTGTAGTTCTGATCTAAGTTTTTTACAACAACATAATACCATTATTGTTATTATTACAGCTACACCAAGTATAACATTATCGCAAAGAAAAAAGTATCATGTAATATTTAAAATAAGAAATAAATGCTTACCAACCCATTATACTTATAATATCTTCATTAATATCTTATGCAATTATTGATTGTCCTATACTATATACAATTAAATATGTTTATACTGCTTATCTGTTTGTTATTATCTCTGCATCTATAAAAAGAGTGAACTCATCAGAGTAATTCACCGTATTTATCAAAAAAAGTACATTAAAATATTGTTATTTATCTGTACTTCTTAACATCTTTGCTTCTACTAAATATCTTATTATGATCTTAATCTTTATATTGTTTTGTTTTATTAAAAGCATTACTAGTAGTGATTAATATATTTCTGGAACTGATTTATATCATATCAATAAAGATATTGATGTCTTTAGAGAAATTATATTTAAAGGCTTCATTAATAACTCTAAATCTTTAATATTATCTTTTAAAAAAAACTCTATTATTTTAATGATCAGGTGATATGTATATGAAAAGAATACTGAATATGTACAGCTCTATTTCTGGCTTTCTTATCTATTATAAAATTTCTACAATAAACTAATAAGTCTTTAACTTATACAGGTCATTTTGATCCAAACTGTATCTATATTATTTTCTAATGATACTTATATTCTTACTTCTACTATACTTATCACCTCTGCTTCTTTTTTCTATACCCATTATACAAAGTTCTTATCATCTAGACAATAAAAGAGGAAGAAAAAGCTTCATACTCACAAGATATTTATATAATGGTATTACTAATAATAAATATATTCCTTTGAATATTATCGTATCCTATGTAAATCAAAATAATCATTACAATGCATTGAAAAACAATATACAAAAAACTGTTTTGTTAGTTATTAGAAGGTTAAAAATTGATTCTTCTAGGATTCTATATATTGTCACTTCTGATATTGAATAGACTTATTCAAATAATAAATCATAATCTTCAAGTATTTCAGGTAAAAAGAAATCAAGATCTTATGAAAAATTAGATAATCAACTAGATAGTATTGAAGAAAAATATGCTACTCTGTCTTCTCAACCTTCACAAAAAAAATTAAATTCTTCTTATATTCAACAGCTGCTAGAAAATCAAATAACATTCCCACTACTATTAATAATGTTATTTCTCAAGTTCGTCATAATGAATATTCTCTTAAACCTAACAACACAAATCCTATACCTGTAAATATAAAACATGATGATTTACCTGATACTGATGATAATGCCATTCTCACTCCTTCTCCAAATACTAAAAAAGAAGTTGATGTTCCTTCTGTTGATGATAATGATCCTATTATGACTATCTTTACTGATCTTTCTCTTTCTTTAGACAAAAACACAAAACAAACAAGAAAAATTTAAGACCTCTTTTACCTTTAAAAAAATAGAAATCTCTATTACTATATATTATTTCTTATGATTTTCTTTAAAAAAATTTTAAAATAAATAAATATCAAATTAAAAATGTAAATAAATAAAAAATAAAATCCTTTAACTGCTATTATTTTTTCAATATTGTGTTATAGAACAGAAACATCACTTATTTGCTATATTTTTATCTAAATTGCTCTGATATCAGATACAAATATAAATCTAACTTGTAATTTAGATTTATTTGTTTTGCATCACTGACTTTTATCAAATATCTTTTCACAATATCATTAAATATATTTTAAATCTCATATTTTGTAATGATCTATATTGTCTAAATAATGTAATTAATTATTTTTAATCATATAATAAAAAAAATCTCACTATTTTTAATGCTTATTTTAATATAATTATATTATTATAAACTAATATTATATACTATCATTGATTAAAGGCTTGTACTCATACTCTTATGCTTATGTTAGTTGCATCTTATATACTATAACAAAAAAAAACTTTATATAATCTCAAAAATATCTTTATAGTTCTTAATCTAACAGCTTATCTATATAATACCAAATTTTTATTACCCTTTAAATTTTTGCAAAATTAACTATATCTATCTATAATATTCAATATTTTCAACTTTTCACTTTCACTAAAATATTGTATCAATCTGATAAAGCATCTGTTATTCTATCTTTAGATAGATTTGATCTCTATATTCATAGAAATAAGATAAACCAAAACTTATCAAATACATCTATGTTTAATAATTTATCTACCATTTTTGCTCTAGCGAATCTATTGATTATTCTTATTAATACTTAACTTCTGTTCTTAAATAACTTGTATATCAATTTCAAACCAAAATTTTGATCAATCACTCTAATATTTTTTATGCCTACTGCTCAATACTCATGATAGCATCTTTAACTCGATGGGTATCTTATAATGAAAACACATTATATTTTTTGACTTGTACCTTTTCAATTCCTGTACATACTTGAATAAATAATAGAAATATTATTCAAGTTGCCATTTGTAGTGGGTGCAAAAATAAAAAACTTGATGATATTCACTAATATTATCTCAAATTCTTTTCCAAATTTAAGATATTTCTATGCTTTATAAAAAATATCTTTCTGCTATTTTTATGAATTGCTCTCTAGGCAGAGCTGTGGATACAAACTGCTATATTAATTATCGCTATCTTACTAGAATTATCAGTCTGTCTCATAATTATAGAACTCTTCAGTTATACTTAGGATTAATTAGAGCTTATCTAAATATATATAAGCTACCCAATTAGTTTCACAATTTATTAATCCCTGTATCTGAATAGCTTAAACGAAAAAACAATCTTATCAAACAATATATATCAAACATCACTATCACCAGACCTTCTTTAACAACTCTCATTCCTATTCCTTTATCTTTTGCTCAACAATTCATTACTGTTGATACCTCTTCTAACTCTATATACTATAGTACCATATCTGATGATAGGCCTAGACTACCTGATTTAGTAATTTTTAATATTTTTTTTTACAAAAGATCTATAATGAAGATGCCCGTTATTCAAGACTAATGACTGAGTCTTTTAATTATAATATTAACCTCAATATATCGATTGTATTTAATGATCCAAATCTAGAAGCCTTGATGTTTTCTGACTTATTCTCTAATGGTCAGAAATACTATAAAGACATAAAATAGCTTTTAAATTTTCAACCTTCTATTGATTCCTATAAAAAATATATAAAGCTTTGATCTCTTTGTCCTGATTCTAGATTTCATCTACACTAGTATTGGCCTCATTGGTTATATCTAAATTTAGAAAAAAAAAGAAATTTTTAAAACCAAAATCATATATTAGCTACTAGAAATGTCAACTGTATCTCTTACTTAACAATAGCTAATCTAATTGTTCAAAGTTTATATCAAAATAATAACATATTAGATAAATTTATAATGATTACAATTCTGATATTCTTTAGAACTGTAACACCCTTTTTTCAACAAAAATAGTACCAAGTTAATACAATAATAAGTTCATATGAATTATCTTAGATCTTCTATACTATGACTATAGCAGAGAATAAATGGCTACATCTATATGAAATATTAAGATCTACTGATAATAGGGACATATTATCTACTAACTATCTATTATATATCTACTTATTTTATCATAACTATCTTACTAACATCCATAACAAACTTTGAAAAAATCTATCCTTATTTAGATAGGGTTAATGGAAACACTTTTTTGAATATGACAAATTTTAGAATCATAGAACTATATATATCTATAGTTTTGTGTATACTGAAATTAAAATCTCTAAATTGATCTCTCTAAATATATTCTGTACTGATATCCCTGATCCCATCACTGAACCTGAACTATATAACTTAGTAATATCATTTTAAATATACTATTGTAACTAATAATATGGTAGTTAGGTTCAAAATAGACAACCATGTTCCAAAAATTTTTTACAACCTTTATCTGAAAGAACATATTGTTCTTCAACTTCATTATGCTATATATACTATTGCACAAAAAAAAAAGACAGAATAGTAGTTCTATATAACCCTGAAACTTTGTTAATATGGCAAAATCATATTAACTTCCAATATATCACCTCTACTAGCTTCGCTAAATATATAACCAAATATGTTATCAAATCTGAACTATCAAAATTATTTAATATTGATGAAACTGATAGTTATAAAAAATATATAATAGTTTGTAGATTAGATACTATTGAACTAATCATACTTTTCTTACAATACCCTTTAACAAGATGTTTAGTCTTAGTATATTATTTCTTTTTCACTTCTTTTAAATTTAGAATTAGATCTATTAAACCAATTTATTTATTACAATATAGAAATAACAATAGCAA